GACAAAGAGAGTGCCTGCCTGGCCTCCCAACTTCCCAGACCACGATTTCTGATTGGCCAAAGCTCTGCTGCTTAACCAACCGAGCCAGCCAGGCACATCAAGCTAAGTATTTAATGCTTGCTTCTCAATATTTGTTATTCTTTGAAGTGTCTTGCACATGGGCTCTGAGAATATGGACCAAAAAAAACCCCAAAAGCCAATTTAATAAAAAAAGTTTAGCTTCTGGGTGGCTCAGTTGGTTAAGCAGCCTACTGCCCAGGGTCATGATCTTGCAGTCCGGGTGGAAGTTCGCCTCAAGGCTGGCTCTGTGCTGACAGCTCAGAGCCTGAGCCTGTTTCTCAGATTCTGGTGTCTCCTCTCTGACCCTCCCGCTGCTGTCTTCTGTCTCAAAAATAACAAACGCTAAAAAAATTAAAAAAAAATAAAAAGTTTTACTTGAAAGACATAAAACAAACATAAGTCTAGTTCTTTTTTATATTCCATATGATGTTTGCAAATTGCTCATTGTTAGAACAAAAAAGCAGTATCATGGAACATAAACTCAGAATCTCAGTGGTTTCTCTAAATACCAATACTTGTATTATATCATATTTTGTAATAGCCAGCCCTAGATGAACACTAGATGTTGTCTTGGAATTTTTGAATCAACAGCTACTGGCAAAAGTTGGAGGACTGTGAGGCAAAAAACAAAAGAAGTATTTGGAACAGCTTTTAAGCTGCTTTTATTTTAAAGGATAAAATATATATTGAGTTTTTTTTTTTAAGGTTATTTTTTATTTTGAGAGAGAGGCACACCCGCCAGGGCAGACAGAAGGAACGAGGATCTCAAGAAGGCTCCCACCGTTGTTTAGGATGATGCTCATGAACCATGAGATCGACTCAAAACCAAGAGTTAGACGCCAACTGACTGAGCCACCCAGTCACCTCTATATATTGGAGCCAGTTAAAAGAAAATATTTATCACAAGTGTAGAAAACTACTATCAAAGATAAATATTTAAGTGTGTATATAAATCATTTTACCTTTAATTGACTACCAGCCCTGATTCTAGGCAAAGATGGTTCTTCTGGTACTCTGCGACTTCGAACTACAAACTAAAAACTCCTGGAGGTAGAAAGCCAACCAATCCTTATACCGTTTCTTTAACCATTTAGCAATGGTGTATTATTAATTAAGGGTACTACCTATAAGTAAGTACTGATTACATTTTTTCTCATTTAATTTTCATCTTTGTTTTTAAAAGAAGACCAATACAAAAGTTTGACTTTTTTTCTAGGTGTTTATAGAAGTATTTTCAAATAACCCAATAAATATTGAGGAATAGAGGTACACATGCTGTATACTGAACTGTGAGAAATATGAATTTGGTAAGTCGACACTGTTTTTAAATAGAACTACTTGAGAGTAAAGCCTATTGCCTAGTTGGTGGATCGTGACTCTTGGATCTCAGGATTGTGAAAGTTCAAGTCCCATGTTGGGTATAGAAACTACTTAAAAAAATAAAAATAAATTCTTTAAGTGAATGAATGAACAAACTACAGAATTTGAAGATGCTAATGTCACAATTTAATTTAATGGGATAATTTTACCTACCTCTGAGCAGAGGGAAACCAGAATCCATATTACTGATGTCCAAATGTTTGGAGTGGGCGTAGTCAGTCATATGAATTTCACTTCCATATTCATAAGACCGGAAGATACCCCTAAAATTGTTTTTGAAAATCCTTGTTCTGGTAATACAATCAACCATGATGAATTTTAGCTCACAAAGAGAGTATGAAAAAAATCATAAGACAGTTGCTTAACTTTTACTATTCTTATTACTAAATACTACTTACTAATAATAAATAATCTTCTTAATGCCTTACTATTTGTTATTAGTATCAAGGAAAGTAAGGGGGGATTCTGTCAAACATTTAAAGAAGAAGAGTTACCACCTATTCTTTTGAAGCTGTTCCAAAAATGGAAGGAAAGCTTCCAAACTCATTCTATGAGGCCAACACCAGTTTGATTCCAAAAAAACCAGACACCACTAAAAGGAGAACTATAGACCAATTTCCTGATGGATGCAAAATTTCAACAAGATACTAGCCAACCACATGATCCAACAATATATTGGGGTAAAAGAATTATACACTAATGGACAAGTGGGATTTATACCTGGGATGCAGGGCTGTTCAATATTCACAACAATGTGATACATCAAGCATTAATAATTTTTTTTAATGTTTATTTATTTTTGGGAGAGACAGAGTGAGTGGGGGAGGAGCAGAGAGAGAGGAGCATTGCACCTGAAGCTCCAGGCTCTGACAGCACAGAGCCTGGGTTCAATCAATAACCATGAGATCATGACACCTGAGCTGAATGACGCGCATTGACTGAGCTACCCAAGCATCCTGATACATCACATTAATAAAAGAAAGTGAGTAAGAACAACATGACTGCCTCAATAGATGCAGGCAGCATTTTGACAAAATACAGCACTTTTCTTGGATAAAAACCCTTCAAGAAAGTAGGGATAAAGGATCATACTTCAAGATCATTACATATGAAAGACCCACCGCTAATATCTTTTCTCAATGGGGGAAAACAGATCTTCGCCTCAAAGTTAGGAACACAAGAATGTCCATTCTCACCACTGTTATTCAAAATAGTAAAGAAAAGTCCTAGCTGCCGCCAGCAATCAGACAACACAAGAAATAAAAAGGCATCCAAATAGACGAAGAAGGAAGTCAAACTTTCACTCTTCACAGATGACGATATTCTATGTGGAAACCCAAAAGATTCCACTAAAATCATAAAACTGATCCATGAATTCAGCAAAGTCTCAGGATATAAAATCAATACACAGAAAATCAGTTATGCTTTCACACCAATAATGAAGAAAGCAGAGAAGAGAAATCAAGGTATTGATCCCATTTTCAGTTACATCAAAAATCATGAAATACCTAGAATAAACCTAACCAAAGAAGTGAAAAATCTGTACACTTGGAATATTAGAAAGTTTATGAAAGAAATTGAAGAAGACACAAAAAATGGAAACATCTTACGCTCATGGTTTGGTAAGAATATTGTTAAAATGTCGACATCACCCCAGCAATCTACATATTCAATGCAATCCCTATCAAAATAACACCAAATATTCTTCACAGAGGTAGCCAAACAATCCTAAAAATTTGTATGGAAGTAGAAAAGACCTACCAGCCAAAGCAATCCTAAAAAAGAACCAAGGCTGGAGGCATCACAATTCCGACTTCTGTATTACAAAGTTGTACTATCAAGACAGTAAGGAAAATGGCACAAAACAGACACATGGATCAATGGAACAGAATAGAGAATCCAGAAATGGACCCACAAACATATGGCCAACTGATGTTGGACAAAGCAGGAAAGAATATCCAATGGAATAAAGACAGTCTTTTAGCAAATGAAAATAAAAAAACTGACAGCAACATGTAAATGAATGAACCTGACCATTCTTATACCATACACTAAAATAAACTCAAATGGATGAAAGACTCCTAAATAAGATACAGGGAAGCCATCAAAATCTTAGAGGAGAAAAAGCAGGCAAAACCCTTTTATCTTACAATACAGCAATTTCCTTACTTAACATGTTCCGAGTAAGTAAGGTAAACAAAAGCAAAAATGAACTATTGGGACCTCATCAAAACTTTCAAGCAGTGAAGGAAACAATCAGCAAAAAAGGCACTGACAGAATGGGGGAAGGTATTTGCAAATGACATATCAGCGTTAGTATCTAAAAATCTATGAAGAACTTATCAAACTCAACACCCAAAAAACATGATCCAGTGAAGAAATGGGCAAAAGACACTTTTGCATGAATAGACACTTTTTGCAAAGAAGATATCCAGATGGCTAACAGACACATGAAAAAATGCTCAGCATCACTCATCATCAGGGAAATACAAATGAAAACCACAATGAGATACCAACTCACACCTTTAAGAATGGCTAACATTAACAACTCAGGCAATGACAGATACTGACAAGGATGCGAAGAAAGAGGAACCCTTTTGCGTTGCTGGTGGGAATACAAACTGGTGCAGCCACTCTGGAAAACTGTATGGAGGTTCCTCAAAAAATCAAAACTAGAACTACCCTATGACCCAGCAATTGCACTGCTAGGTATTTATCTAAAGGATACAGATGTCCTGTTTCAAAGGGGCACATGCACCCCAATGTTTATAGCAGTGTTATTGAGAGTAGCCAAAGTTCATTGACTGATGAATGGATAAAGAGGATGTGGTATACAATGAAATATTACTCGGCAGTCAAAAATAATGAAGTCTTGCTATTTGCAACAATGTGGATGGAACTAGAGTGTATTATGCTAAGTGAAATTAGAGAAAGACAAGTATCATGTGACTTCACTCGTGGGATTTAAGATACAAAATAGATGAACATAAGGGAAGCAAAAATAATATGAAAACAGGGAGAGGGACAAAACAGACTTTTTTTTTAAGTTTATTTATTTTGAGAGAGAGAGAATGCAAACGGGAGGAGGAGAGAGAGAGCGAGAGGGAGAGAATCCAAAGGAGGGCACAGAGCCCAATGCAGGTCTTAAACTCATGAACCGTGAGATCATGACCTGAGCTGAAACCAATAGTTTGACGCTTAACTGACTGAGCCACCCAGGTGCCCCAAAACATAAGAGACTCTTAAATACAGAGAACAAACTGAGGGTTGCTGGAGGGGTTTTGGGTGGGGTGATGGGCTAAATGGGCAAGGGTCATTAAGGAGGACACTTGTTGGGATGAGCACTGGGTGTTATATGTAGGGGATGAATCACTGGGATTCTACTCCTGAAATCACAATTGCACTGTATGCTAACTAACTTGGATATAAATTTTTAAAAATAATATAAATTCAATTTAAAATTTTAATTTTAATATAAATTAATATAAATTAAAATTTTTAAAAAGGAAAATATTTTGAACTTTAATTATTATTATTCTTTTTTTTCTTACTTTTTTAAGGAGTTAAAGATCTAATTTTGCTGTGTGGCCGGATTTTCTTACTACTTGCTCTTCTTACTTTAATTATTTCTGTGACTACCTCATGGCTTAATTCATTTAAATCTTCCCAAGTGTATCTGAAAGGTAAGTTTATTGTTTATGCTACCCTTTTATAATTTTCTACTCTTTAGAGTATTTTATTTATTTATTTATTCTAGGATTTTGCATAATTAGAACCGTTTACTGTTAATTTGTGACATATAATTTCAGCTGATCATTACTTTAGTCTTGATTTTTAATGGACTATAAATCCCAACATTTTTATGGGAAATTGTACATTATCCTTGTATACACATTTGAAATGATAGCATTTCTATATTGATACATTGCAAATTCTCTGATTTTAAATTGTGCAGTTTCATTGTTCTTTGAGGTTTATGTTTTCAGTTTATAAACTATTCAACAAATGGTCATGTTTTCTACCGTTAATCTGTAGAGGCTTTTCAACCTAATTTATTTTTCCTTTCACTTTGGCAGTTTTTGTTTACATACTTACCTATAGAGTTAAGTGCTTACTCTTAATTTTAGGAAACCATGCTTGTTCTTATTTTATGTTTGATAAGCAAAAAATTTTACTGTAATTTTGGTAAGTAAAAATTTGTCAAAGCCTTTGACAATGTTAAAAGTGTTAGAAGCCTTTTAGGGGCGCCTGGGTGGCGCAGTCGGTTAAGCGTCCGACTTCAGCCAGGTCACGATCTCGCGGTCCGTGAGTTCGAGCCCCGCGTCGGGCCCTGGGCTGATGGCTCAGAGCCTGGAGCCTGTTTCCGATTCTGTGTCTCCCTCTCTCTCTGCCCCTCGCCCGTTCATGCTCTGTCTCTCTCTGTCCCAAAAATAAATAAACGTTGAAAAAAAAAAAAGTGTTAGAAGCCTTTTAAAACAATATTGTAGTTCACTTCAGAAAAGATGAATCCTAAAACTAAAGCCTGAATTTTTACATCCTTTTACAAAGAAGCTTGCCAATAGTGATTTTGGTACATTGTGTTTCATTTTGCTACTTATTTAAATGTAAATAAATGACAGGAAAATAAGCAGTGCTTAATTTATAGCCTTTCCAAATTAACCATGAATATAACCATAATCCTAAAAGGTTATACTGTTCAACCCAAACATAAAAGACAATCTAGATGTTTTAGGGTCTCTCAATCATAGATTTTTGAAATTCTTTTCTTCTTTTGGTAAATTATTTGATGTCTTATACTTCAAATTATCCATTGGAAAATTAAATAAGAGCATTGTAACTTCTCTTGGAAATTTTGTGTTAAGTGCATTTGACATCAGGAGGATATTTGCTGCAGGCATTAAATGGTCAAATATTCTATATTTTATAAATAAGGGAAACGTGTATTTGACATAGTTTTTGTAGTTTAAATTGTACCTTTTTATTGTTGGAGTGTACATCATTCTGGTACATTTACGGATTAATGATTTTGAGACATAGTCATCACTGAAGGCTAAAACTATTTAAGAAGTAATTAAGACTATATAAAGTGCTTAATTATTGTCAGATTTCCTTTAAATGAGTAAAAAATCCGCATATTGATACGCTTTGTATCTTCCCTAGTGTCATCAGATGTTGAGATACCAGACTTCAGATTCATCCAAAACTTTAATCCTCCGTGTTTTGTAAAGATTTGCATGATGAAGTGTATCACAAGTTCAGAAGCAGTCAGTTCTCAGTGGCTTTAAGGATTAAAGACCTTTGGGGAACCTATTTGGCTCAGTCAGTAGAGCATGTGACTCTTGATCTCAGGGTCATGAGTTCAAGTCCCATGCTGGGTGTGGAGCCTACTTAAAAAGAAAAAAGGGATTAAAGCCCCTTAATCACCTGCTGTTGATTTATTTAGAAACTATATTCTTTGATTCAGAGTCAGAAGGGGAGTCTTAAGATCACTAAGTCTAACTCATCACATAGCAAGTTAGTGGCCAGACTAGACCTTCTGCTTTCCTATGTGCTTTGCTGCCCTAATCTTTCCTTAATAAACTTGAGGATATATTTATTGCCAGGAGAGAAAGTTGTTGACAGAAAGGAACACTCCTATTTAAGGAGCCAGGCAGGTTAAAGGATGTATTTTCCAAAAAGATGTCTAATTCCTCAAGGGAATACAGTTAAATGAAATTAATTCAAATGAAACTTAGTGTACCTAGAATAAAAAATGTTATACAACAGCAAATATTCTTTCTCTTGCCATTCAGTGGCTAATAACCTAATATTGGTTCAGTCATGGGAGTTTCCAAGCAAACTCCACTTTTGGGGTCTAGGCATGTTGCTTATATGTGTGTATGAATTTTTTTTAAAGCTTTTTTTTTTTTTTTGAGAGAGAGAGAGTGGGGGAGACGTAGAGAGAGAGGGAGAGAAGGAATCCCAAGTAGGCTCCACACCATCAGTGCAAAGCCTGACTTGGGGCTCAAATCCACGAACTGTGGGATCACCTGAGCCGAAACCAAGAGTCAGAGGCTCAACCCACTGAGCCACCCAAGTGCCCCGTATGTTTTTTTTTTTTTTTTAAAGTAGGCTCCGTGCCCAATGTGGGGCTTGAACTCATGACCCTGGGATGAAGTCAGATGCTCTACCCACTGAGCCAGCCAGGTGCCCCTTTATTTTTAAAAGACTTTATTTTTAAGTAATCTGTATACCTAATGTGGGGTTCAAACTCAAAACCCCGAGATCAAGAGTCACACATGGGGCGCCTGGGTGGCTCAGTTGGTTTAGCATCCAACTTCAGCTCAGGTCATGATCTCGCAGTTTGTGAGTTCGAGCCCCACATCGGGCTCTGCTGAGAGCTCAGCGCCTGGAGCCTGCTTCAGATTCTGTGTCTCCCTCTCTCTCTGCCCCTCCCCTGCTCACACTCTTGTCTCTCTTTCATTCAAAAATAACTAAACATTAAAAAAAAAAAAAAAAAAAAAAAAAAAAAAAAAAAAAAGAGTTGCACACTCCACTGACTGAGTTAACCAGGTCCCCAGGTATGATGCTTTTACTGTCATGTCAAGGGTGACCAAATGGCACACGTGCCTACAGGGCAGCATTCTCTACTTCATGTGCAGAAATGGGCTTTCATGCCATGTCTTGGAGCTGCTGAAGCCCTAGCATGAAAAATCCAATATAATCATTCTTGAAGCCTCCTCACCAAAACTATGACATATGATATTAATGAATGTTAGAGAATTTTTGTTTCAGAACAGACCGTTTCTTACAGATTTTACTTGTGGATTTCTTTGAACTGTCTGCATGTACCTCATTTTCATCGTTTGAAAAACACAGTCTGTTTTTTGAAGGCTTGTCTCTCCCAAAATGTTATCTACAGACTACTTTCAGAGAAAAGAGCATTCAACTTACGATATTTGGGAATTAAAAAGCATTTTTACGTTTTGATGTCTTAGAAGAAGAAGAGAAGAATGAAAAAAGGCAAAAACTTGTCAGGAAAAAACAACAAGAGGCACAGGGTGAAAAGGTAAAGCATAATTTTTAGAGAGTATATATAAAGAGAATACAGAACATCTTGGGGCATTTAAAATCGAGGTCTGTTGCTTTCTGCATTTGTGCTTGGACTTTTTTTTTAAGTTTATTTATTTTGAAAGAGAGAGAGAACATGCTCACATGTGAGAGTGGGGGGCAGGGTGCAGAGAGAGAGGAGAGAGGTAATCCCAAACAGGCTCTGTGTTCTCAGTGCAGAGCCTGACTGGGGGTCAGACTCACGAACTGTAAGATCATGACTTCAGCTGAAATCAAGAATTAGACGCTTAACTGACTAAGCCACCCAGGTGCCCCATGTGCTCAGATTTTTTAATTATTGAGGTCAAATTCACATGACTTAAAATTAACCAATTAAAAAAAATTAACCAATTTAAAATGTACAATTCAGTGGCATTTAGAACATTTGCAGTGTTATGCAATCACTACCTCTCTCTAGTTCCAAAACATTTTCTTTACCCCAAAACAAGACCCCGTACCTATTAAATAGTCACTTCTCCATTCCCACTCCTGTCCTTTGGCAACTAGGTCTGCTTTCTGTTTATATGGATTTATGTATTCTGGATATTTCATTTGAGTGGAATCACATAATATGTGACCTTTTGTGTTTGCCTTCTTTCACTTAGAATAATGTTTTCTGGGGTTCATCCATATACATGTATCAGTACCTCATTCCTTTTTTGCAGGTAAATAATATTTCATTGTATGGATGTATCAAAACTTGTTTATCAGGGGCGCCTGGGTGGCTCAGTCGGTTAAGCGGCCAACTTCGGCTCAGGTCATGATCTCGCGGTCCGTGAGTTCGAGCCCCGCGTTGGGCTCTGTGCTGACAGCTCAGAGCCTGGAGCCTGTTTCGGATTCTGTGTCTCCCTCTCTCTGACCCTCCCCCGTTCATGCTCTGTCTCTCTCTGTCCCAAAAATAAATAAACGTTAAAAAAAAATTAAAAGAAAAAAACTTGTTTATCAGTTCATTTGCTGATGCACATTTAGGTTGTTTCCACCTTTGGGCTGTTGTGAATGTGCTGCTATGAATATTTGGACACAATTCTTTGAGTACCTGTTTTCAGTTCTTTTGGGCATATATATATAGGAGTGGAATTGCTGGGTCATCTGGTAATTCTGTGTTTACCTTTTTGAGGAACCACCAAACTGTTCTCTACACCAGCTATTCCATTTTATATTCTCACCAATTTCTGAGGGTCCCAATTTCTCCATTTCCTCACGGACGTATATTTTCCCACCCCCACCTCCTTTTAAATATTCATTGTAGTGGTGCCTGGGTGGCTCAGTTGGTTAGGTGTCTGACTCTTGATTTTGGCTCAGATCTTGAGGTTCGTGAGTTCAAGCCCTGTGTCCCTGCCTGGGATTTTCTCTCTCTGCCTCTTTCTCTGCCCCTCCCATGTACTCTCTCTCTCAAAACAATAAATTCTCATTGTGATGAGCATGAAGTGGTATCACATTGTGGTTTTGATTTGCATTTCCCTAATGACTAATAATGTTGAATGTCTTTTCATATGCTTGCTGGAGAATGTCTATTCTTATGTCTTCTCTGCAGAAATGTCTGTTCAAGTTCTTTGCCCATTTTTGGGTTGTGTTGTCTTTTTTTTTTTTTTTAAATGAGAGTTCTTTATGTATTCTGGATACTAGACTCTTATCAGATACATAATTTCCAAGTATTTTCTCCAATTGTGTGGGTTCTCTTCATTATTTTGATATTGTCCATTGATGCACAAAAGTTTTGATGAAATCCAGTTATTTCTTTTGTTGCTCATGCTTTTGGTGTCCATTGCCAAATCCATTGTCCCTCTAACAATCCATTGCCAAATTGAAAGCCATGATGATTTACCCCTATATATTTTCTTTCAAGAGTTGTATAGTTGTAAAAAAAAAAAAAAAAAAAGTTGTATAGTTGTAGCTTTTATATTTAGGTTACTAATCCACTTTGAGTATATAGTGTGTATATATTTTTGTATATAGTGTGAGGTGGGGATTCAGTTTCTTTTTTAATATTGTTTTGGCTATTTGGGGCTCTTTACACTTTCAAATAAATTTGAGTTGGCTTTTCCATTTCTGTAAAAAAGGCCTTTGTGATTTTTGAGAAGGATTACATCAAAATCCATAGATTGCTTTGGGTAGTTTTGACATTTTATATTAAGTCTTCCTTGCCTTGCCTCGTGTTGACATCTTAATGATATTAAAACTTTCAACCATAAGCCTGTAATGTCTTTCCACTTATTTATATCTTTAATTTCTTCCAACAATATTTTATAGGTTTCAGTGTACATAGTTACCCTTTTGGCTAAATTTATTTCTACGTATTTTATTTTGGATGCTGTTTTAAATGTAATTGTGGTTTTAATTTCCTTTTTTGACTTTTCATTGCTAGTGTATAGAAATACAAGTGGTTTTTCTGTGTTGATCTTGTACCCTGCACTTTGTTTATTATTTATTAGCTCTAGTGATTGCTGTGCATGGATTCTTTGGATTTTCTATTAAGGCAAACCTTATTTTATTGTACTTCATTTTATTGTGCTTTGCAGGTACAGGTTTTTTTGTTTTTTAGTTTTTTTTTTTTTTCCATATTGAATGTTTATGGCAACCCTACATTGAGCAAGTCTATTGGTGCCATTTTTTTCTAACAGCATTTGCTCACTTCGTGTCTCTGTGTTATATTTTGGTAATTGTCGCAATATTTCAAATGTTTTATTATTATATTTTTTATGGTAATCTGTGATCAGTGATTGCAACTCAATGAAAGCTCAGATAATGGTTAGCATTTTTTAACAAGAAAGTATTTTTTAATTAAGTCATGTACTTTTTTGTAGACCTAATGCTATTGCACACTTAGTAGACTACAGTATAGTATAAACATAACTTTTTTTAAGTTTATTTATTTTGAGAGAGAAAGCACAAGTGGGGGAGGAGCAGAGATAAGGAAAGAGAGAGAAACAGCAGGGGAGGGGCAGAGAGAGAGGGGAAGAGAGAGAATCCCAAGCAGGCTCTACACTGTCAGCACAGAGCCTGATTTGGGGCTCGAACCCACAAACCATGAGATCATGACCTGAGCCGAAACCAAGAGTTGGACACTTAACTGACTGAGCCACCCAGGCATCCCTAAACATAACTTTTATATGCACTGGGAAACCAGAAAATTAATTTGATTGCTTTATTGTGATATTTACTTTATTGCAAACTGACCTTCAATATCTCTAATATATGCCTATATAAGATCATGTCATCTGAGAATAAGGATAGTTTTACTTCCTCCTTTCCAAAATGGTGTTTGTTTATTTTTCTTGCCTATTGCTCTAGCTAAAACTTCTAAATGGTGTTGAATAGTAGTGGTGAAAGCCAGCATCCTTGTGTTGTTCCTGGTCTTAGAAAGCTTTTAGTCTTTCACCACTGAATGTGATGTTAGCTATGGGTTTTTTCTAGCTACTCGTTATGTTAAGCAAGTTCCTTCCTATTCCTAGTTTCTGAGTATTTTTATCATAAAGAGTGTTGAGTTTTGTCAAATGTTTTTTCCTTATCAATTGAGATGATCATGTATTTTTTTCCCCTTTGTTTTATTGATACGTATTACACTGATTGATTTTCTTATGTTGAAACGTCTTGCATTCTTGGGATGAATCACACATAGCCGGTATATAATCCTTTCAGTATGTTTTCAGATTCAGTTTGCTACAATTTCGTTGAGGATTTTTGCACCTACATAAGAGATACTGGTTTGTACTAGTCTTGTAGTGTCTTTGCCTGGCTTTGGTATCAGGATGATGTTGACCTCATGTAATTAATTAGGAACTGTTCTTTTATTTTTTGGAGTGTCAACAAGACAGTGTTAACTCTTCTTTAAAGGTTTGATAGAAGAGCACCTGGGTAGCCCGGTTGGTTGAGCATCCCACTTCTGCTCAGGCCATGATCTTGAAGTTCGTGGGTTCGGGCCTTGAGTGAGCTGACAGCTCAGAGCCTGGCACCTGCTTCAGATTCTGTGTCTCTCCCTCTCTCTGCCCCTCCTCCACTTGTGTACACACACATGCGTACGTTCTCTCTCTCTCAAAAATAGGTAAACATTAAAAAATGTTTAAAGATTTGATAGAATTCACCTGTGAATCTACTTTTCTTTACTGGGAGACTTTTAATTACTGATTCAATATCTTGTTAGGTATGTTGAGATTTCCTAATTCTTCTTGAGTCAGTTTAGGCAATTTGTATGTTTCTAGGAGTTTGTCAACTTCATCTTGGTTTTCTGAATTGTTGGTTTACAGTTGTTCACAATATTCTTTTTCTGGCGTGCCTGGGTGGCTCACTTGGTTGAGCGTCCAACTCTTGACTTCAGCTCAGGTCATGATTTTGAAGTTTGTGAGTTCAAGCCCCACGTTGGTCTCTGCGCTGACAGTGCAAGCCTGCTTGGGATTCTGTCTCCCTCTCTATCTCCCAAAAAGTAAATAAATAAACTTATAAAAATAAAAACCCCACCAGAATCTCCATTTCTTTTAAGCCCAAAAATATTTTCTACTTTACTATGATTAAGCTGTTCATTAACACTTTTCCAAGTGACTTCTTGCCTTGGGCATTGTGCCTTGAACAAATGGCTTTGACTTTAAGCTCCTAGAAGCCAAGCATCACATCCTATGCATCTTTGTATCCCTAGCTCGTAGTAAGTTTTTGTTGGACTGAGAACACATTAAAATATCTAGAGGCCAACTGCCAAATAAGCATAAGCATAGAACATTTGTTTTTATCTGCTTTAGGTATATATGCAGATTTTTAGAGAGTGATGTAAAAGGAGGATGCTGCTTTTTTGACAAAATTTAGTGTGACAGAAAACACAATTTGTTAACCTGTTTCTTATTTACAACTTTATAGACCATGGAAGATCTTTGGAATGTTATGGTAATAACACCTCATTTATTATTTTTTTTAATAGGTCAGCAGATACATAGAGAATGTTCTAAAACCTCACCAGGAGATGAAATTGAGAAAACTGGAAGAGCGCTTTTATCAGATGACGGGTGAAACTTGGAAATTAAGCAATGGTCATAAACTTGGGGTTAGAAAATAGTCTCACTTTATATTTTGAATTCTGCTACTACATACATACATGCAATATATACATATAATGCAACATTATACATATAATGTATAAGTACATATAATGTACAAGCATATTACATATTTGGGTTTTTAAAATTTCGAATGATGTTAAACTGGTCTGGTTTTTAGGAATCTTTATTGCTAATGATTGTACATAGAGCATATTTGTGTGTTGAAGGATTAAGTGCTTTTGGTGCCCAAAGAGCATATAACCTAGATGTTTGAGAAGCTCTAACATAAAGTTGTCTTTGAGAAAACTGTTGACCAATCACCATATTTTATACGAGGAAATTCAGATCTTTCCTTAAGATCTCCAAGGTATGACAAGCTCACATTATACTCATTATGTTTCGCTCTGTTTCTATAAAGCCAAATTAACCTTTGACTCTTTTTTCCTTTGGCATTGAGTATGAACTTTTGTCATTTGCTAATGGTAGTTTTCAGCTCAAAGTTTTTTTACAGAGGAAAAACGATATTCATAAAGGAATTAAGTTTTAGGGGTGGCTGCCTGGCTCAATTGGTAGACCATGCAACTCTTAATCTCAGGGCCACGAGTTCAAGCTCCCCCATGTTGGACCTGGAGCCTACCTAAAAAAAAAAAAAAAAATAAGTTTGAGAGTAACTAGTCAGAGATTTTATGTGTAAGATCATTTCTGTCCCAAAGACTTTTTGGGTTTTTTTGCTTTCTATTTATATTGCATCTTTTACTATCCTATAAATAAAATGATCCAGTAAAGGTTAACAGGATTCTTACTGTGAAGCTAGACTCCGTTGTTATCCATTTCATAATGGTAAATATGCATCAAGGGTGGGTAATGAAATTAATGCGAAAGATGTGCAGCATGAAATGTGCCTGCTCTGTGGAGTGATGTCACTTCGGAGATGAGTTTGTCTTCTGTTCAGAAGCCTGACTTTAGCTGGCCACACCTTTTTCTCAAATGGTCACAAAGTGAATTAGTCATTCTGCCCCTTGCTTTCAGGCTATGTCTTCATGACACTAGTAGCATATATTTTAACCTAATTAGTGGGGACAACAAGAAGTCAGGGACCAAGCAGACCACTGGCATTGTTATGACTTAAGGCTGTTAGGACTATCAAGGATGTGAGAATCAGGGGGCACCTGGGTGGTTCAGTCAGTTAAGCCGACTTCGGCTCAAGTCATGATCTCACCGTTTGTGAGTTTGAGCCCCGCATCTGGCTCTCTGGGCCTTTGTTCCCCTCTCTCTGCCCCTTCCCCACTGGTTTTCTCTCTATCTCTCTCAATAATAAATAAACTTAAAAAAAAAAATGTGAGAATCAGAATGTTAATTGCTGAGAGAAAGTGTAGGCGGCAGCTGATGGAGCCTGGTACTTTGCAGTCAGCCTGTTTGGCCAGTTAACTATTGAGCATCTAGATCTCTTGGCTCCCATTGCCCCTCCCCTTCCATCAGGTTTTCTTAGGATAAAGGAATAAAACAGCCCACCAAGATGGTGGCCATTTTAGTCTGATGAAGAGAACTTTTACAAGTCAGTGGATGTAGAAAAGGGTATTTTTGAACTAGTAAGTATGTATCTGAGAATTTGACGTTTAAGTTAATTATCTTGCTGAGGAAAAAGTTTTAATGGATACTATTAATAAAAAGTAATATGGTTTCTGGAATAACTTCCTTTGCTTTCTAAAGTGATTAATTCAAAAGGAAGATCAGAGTTTGAATCTGAGAACTAAAATATATGTAACAGGATACTTCGGCCATGTTCAACTATGGAAGTATTTCATGGTTACATACACAGACATGTTTTTACATACCTATTTTCTTTTCACAGCTTTTTAAAGCATAATCCCTTGCACTGTCTTGCATCCTTTAATGAAAGGAGAAAAGGATATCATTCAGGTTTTCTTATTTCTTCCACCCTACTAAAAACTGTGGGGATCAATTAAAATGGAAAGATGCCTCTCAGCCTTGTGTCTATCAGGGGGAGCCCCAGGGCTGGGTACAAGTAGTTTCTACAGGATGTTAAGCTCTATGTTTTCTTCTCCAAGGAAATAATGCTTTAAGTTTCTGGACCTAATATTGACTAAGTTCTTTTTTTTTTTTTAAGTAGACTCCACACCCAACGAGAGGGTTGAACTCACGACTCTGAGATTAAGAGTTGCATGCTCTGCCAATAGAGCCAGCCAGTATTTTTTACTAAATTTTTTTTAATTAAAAAAAATTATTTTTATGTTTTTATTTTATTTTTGAGAGAGAGAGACAGAGTGTGAGTTGGGGAGGGGCAGAGAGAGGGAGACACAGAATCCAAAACAGGCTCCAGGCTCTGAGCTGTCAGCGCAGAGCCTGACATGGGGCTCGAACTCACAGACTGCGAGATTGTGACCTGAGCCGAAGGGACACCCAACCGACTGAGCCACCCAGGCACCCCTGAGTTGAGTTTTGTTTTGTTTTGTTTTAACTGAAATGTCATTTTTTACTGAAATGCCATCAGGGTAAAAGAAAGAGCCGCTGTGAATTGAATAAAGTTTATACTAGAGACTATTTAGAAATTGTCTGTTGTTTTTGACCAGGGTGATGAAGAGTTGGTGCTTGAAAATGGGAGTCAGACATCTTTTGAAACATCAAACAGCAGAGAAGCAGCAAAGAGACGGAACTTGCCTAAGCCTCTAACCAAAATTTCACCATCTGCTGAACAGCCCACGCAGAAGGAGGTTCATTACTGAATGCCTACTCATGTAATTGTATCAGTGTGCAGTAGGAATATGGTTCTCTGGGCGAGGTGGTATACTGAGTGAAGATTAGGACTGGCTTTTAATCCAGATGGTGTCTTCCCACTACCTTATAAAGGGATCAGCTTCATTAAAAACCACTTTGCTATTTGATACTAATATTAATGTTCTGAACCACACTTAGAAGGAAGCTATGAAGATAAATGACAGATTTACAAAATACTCCGTTCTTTTGAAGAAGTAATTTTATTATGTAGAAATGAAAAATGTTTACTAAGGGAAATATTCCTACAGGTAACTAAGACATGATTAACCCATATTTAGTGAGAGGCTAATATTATTATTTTTTTATTAAAAAAAATTTTTTTAAGATTTTATTTTTAAGCAATCTCTGCACCCAGCATGGGGCTTGAACCCATAACCCCTAGATCAAGAGTTGCATGCTCTACCAATTGAGCCACCCAAGCCCCCGAGTGGCTAATATTATTAACGTGGGTAATATTTTTCTCAGTAGCCCTTCCAGGGAGTGGGTTAGCAACCATTCATTTTGGAACAGTGCTGAGGTTCATTATTACTTCTGTTCTTTCAAATTTTTAATCCTTAAGTTGACCCTCATTTGGATCTGGCAAAGGTTGGAAATAAATCTCTTTGCCCTGACTCTTAAGGGATGCTGGGAGGCCATATGTTCCCTGAACGTAGTTTCTAATGTGTTGCCTCTTGGTCTGAGGTTTCTTAGCCCCATAATGGGGCCTGAGGGTGGCAGTCAAGTCATTGAACTATTTCTAGCATTTCAAAAAGATCTTATGGACTAATTAAAACTTCAGGAGTCTTAGCTTTTTGTTAATAACATGAATCGTCTCATGTTGTTGGTAAATTTTGGTTGACTGTCAGGCTTTTGATACCAAAGGAAAGTAAATGGTTTATTTGATAAAATGCAGTTAATGTTGGCTAGATACAATGCTAGAAAACATGAGTCTGTGGCATTAAAAAACAAAAAGCGTCCCTGAAGGTGAAATTGTTGGTAACCCTGTTAAACGAGAGAAAATGGTCTGAACACCTGGTTTTGTAATAAACAGAAATAAGGAAACATCAGTAAATCATGAAGACAACCAAAGTGAATGTTTCTTATCCAGTCCCCTAGAAGTGCCAGTGAAGAAAGATACACATTTAAAATGTGTATACGTATGAACCTAAATAACTTTGGGGTCTGTTGAACTTAATATTTATCCTCTGTGTCTTTAAATAGTATATTTTTATGTAGTGTCTTGGAATATCATAAAAATGAGATTCTTAAATATGCATAGATTGGTAGCTATCATCCCACATCCTGTTATTATCATGTATTTAGCACAGAATGGCTTACCAAAAATGTTTAACTGAGCCCTTTCATATTGTACTTTTTTTTTTTAATTTTTTTTTTTTCAACATTTATTTATTTTTGGGACAGAGAGAGACAGAGCATGAACGGGGGAGGGGCAGAGAGAGAGGGAGACACAGAATCGGAAACAGGCTCCAGGCTCCGAGCCATCAGCCCAGAGCCTGACGCGGGGCTCGAACTCACGGACCGCGAGATCGTGACCTGGCTGAAGTCGGACGCTTAACCGACTGCGCCACCCAGGTGCCCCAATAATACTATTTTTTATACTCTAGTCCCTTTGAAATGAGTTGGAAAAATTAGAAACATAATTAAGGAATTATTTTTAGGTGTGATGATGGCATTGTGGTTAGGTGAGAAAGAAAAGAATCTTTATCTCTAAAGATATATGCTGCAATATCATAGGAATTATGGTAAAAATCTGCTTCAAAATAATGGGGAGAGGACAGTAGGTGGGCATATAGCTGAATAAATATTAAAGCCTAATAAAAGGTACATTAGGGTATCTTATACTCTTCTTTCTAATTCTGTATAATTTCCATGATAAACTGTTTAATGATATCAACAGGCTTAAGATTAAAAAAAAAAAAGGGCAGGGGCGCCTGGGTGACTCAGTCGGTTGAGCAACCGATTTCAGCTCAGGTCATGATCTCGTGGTTTGTGAGTTTGAGTCCCATGTCGTCGGGCTCTGTGCTGAGAGCTCAGAGCCTGGAGCCTGCTTCAGATTCTATGTCTCTCTCTCTCTCTCTCTCTCTCTCTCTCTCTGCCCCTCCCCCACTGATGCTCTGTCTCTCAAAAATAAACATTAAAACATTTTTAAAAATTAAAAATAAATAAAGGTGGCAGGAGATGGGGGGGGACTAGTCTTAATCAGTTAATTGTTCTGCTAGCTGAAACAGATCCTAAAAATAACAATACATATCCTTCTAAACTGTACGTATCCTTCTACTTAGGATAAAGCTGTAAAGAATGTTTTTCTCTAACAAGAAGCAGCTGGATGATGCACAAAACCATAACATTTTTGAGCCTCAGATTGCTGAGGCTGCAAAGGATTCACGGAACCAGAATTCCAAAGGGGGATAATCCACTACAAGGAGAGACAGGAAGAGGTTCGGTAGAATTGTGGGTGCTATACAAACAGATAAGACAAATCCAGCTAAGATTTTAACATTTTTAAAGGCCAAGCGTGGGCCGCTGTATCACGTTGGAATGGGACTGGCTATTTAATTTGTGAGTCTTAGTGCAAAATGAAAATGTGGGAAACCTCGCTGGAAAATGAAGAATTCCAGATGGTGACAGCGAGCATTAAATCAAGCGTGAGGACCTTCTAGGTGTGGGCTGTATGTGGCCGCACAAGGCATCCGCCTCAAAGCCAGTCCTGGCCGGTGGTCTGAGACAGAAAGGGAGTTTCCACTCACCTGAAAGCACTTCACTATCAGCCTTCATTCGCCAGGTGTTTGTGGAGGGGAGCAAGACAGGTGCAGGAGACCAGGAAAGGCCAACCTGGTTGCAAATGAGGAGGTGATTGCTGGCTGTGGAGGAATGAGTTTAAAGCTTTCTAGGATCCTTCTCCTCTACAAAGCCTCTTGTAGAGGACCATAGGCGGAACCATAGGCGGTTCACCAAGTACGAAGACCTCAGGACGCTGGCATAGATCTACTGTTGGCTGGAGAAGCAGTAAAAGGAAGATCCATCTGCCTCTCCAAAGACATAGGTAAAGATTTATTGCTCCCAGGGGAAGAGTAGAAGCAAACATTCTCATTCCTGGGGGAGGGCTGGATACAGATACGAAACAGATGCTGGCTATTGCTGGGGGTGGCGCAGCAAACAGCCACCCTAGACCAACCACAGATACAAGGCGGAGTTTGGTTGCCACAGGTAGGAAGAGCAGGAACCCTGAGAAAACCTCACCTGGGAAGTCAAAGCACAAAGGGCCTGCCTGAGATGGAGGCGGAGTTAGGACAATAGGGCATCTCTCCTGCTCCTGCCATGAACTTGGCACCCGGTCCCAGGCACCAGCAGGCTGCAACCACAACACACAGACCGAGCACAGAGGAAAACCCTCTCTCAGATACATGTACGCAGGGACAATGGAGAAAATATCTTTCAAAATAGAACATGAAACAAATACTTTATTTTATTTTTTAAATTTTATTAAAAAATTTTTAATGTTTTATTTTTGTGAGAGAGAGCATGAGTGGGGTAGGGGCAGAGAGTGGGAGGGGACAGAGGCTCCAAAACGGGCTCCATGCTGACAGCAGCAAGCCCAATGAGGGGCTTGAACTCACGAACCCCAAGATCATGATGTGAACAGAAGTCATTTGCTTAACCAACTGAGCCACCCAGGTGCGCTGAAACAAATACTTAAAAAAAAAATTTTTTTTTTACATTTATTTATTTTTGAGAGACAGAGCATGAGCGGGGGAGGGGCAGAGAGAGAAGGAGACACAGAATCCCAAGCAGGCTTCAGGCTCCAAGCAAGCATTCAGCACAGAGCCCGACTCAGGGCTCAAACCCATGAACTGTGAGATCATGACCTGAGACGAAGTCGGATGCTCAACCAACTGAGCCACCCAGGCGCCCCCAAATACTTTTTAAGATATACAAAAGCTGAGGGAATGCATTACCAGCAGACTTGCCTTACAAGAAATATTCAAGTAAACCTTTCGGAAGAAAAAAAACATTATACGAGATGGAAATATGAATTTACATAAAGGAATTAAGTGCATTGGAAATGGTATAGATTGACCTGAGTAGATACATAAAAGGTTTTCCTTATTATATAAATCACTTTACATGATAGTCTACTGTTTAAACAAAGTGATAATGTTCTATGGGATTTTTAATACTTGTAAAAGAAAGATGTAAGACAACGGTAGCAGAAAGTGTGAGGGGATTAATGGAAGTATACTAGTGAAAGGTTCTGTACATGAAGTGGTGGGATATCACTTGAAGGTAGACTATAAATTTATTTTTTTTAAGTTATTTACTTTGAGAGTGAGGGAGGGGCAGAGAGAGAAGGAGAGAGAGAGAATCCCAAACAAGTTCCATCATGCTGTCAGCACAGAGCCCAATGCAACTCGGGGCTCAAACACATGAACCGTGAGCTCATGAAATGATCTGAGCTGAAATGAACTGAAATCAAGAGTCAGACCCTTGACCAACTGAGCCACCCAGGTGCCCCCAGATTTTATTTTTAATCTCTACACGCAACGTGGGGCTCATACTCAAAACCCCAAGATCAAGAGTTGCATGCTCTACTGATTGAGCCAGCCAGGCACCCCTGGTAAGATGAGTATTTAGACTCCATTTATTTTTTAGTCAGTTTTGATAAGGTCAAGATACTCCAGTAATTTGCTCATTGTTTGTTTTCAATTTATTGGCAAATAGTATTCATAGTACCCTTTTAATTTTTTTATTCCCTTTTGAATCTTCTATTTTGCAAAACTCAGGCTTTTATTTGTGTCTTCCTTTCCTTCATATTTTATTAGTCTTCAAGTATCAGCTTTGGTTTTGTTGATCTTTTCTTTGGAATATTTTATTTCTTTTAATATTTGCTGTAATCTTTTAACTTTTATGGAGTAGTAAACACTTAGTTCATTAATATTAAACTCCTCCTTTATTATAATACAAGCACTTAGGGGCGCCTGGGTGGCGCAGTCGGTTAAGCGTCCGACTTCAGCCAGGTCACGATCTCGCGGTCCGTGAGTTCGAGCCCCGTGTCGGGCTCTGGGCTGATGGCTCAGAGCCTGGAGCCTGTTTCCGATTCTGTGTCTCCCTCTCTCTCTGCCCCTCCCCCATTCATGCTCTGTCTCTCTCTGTCCCAAAAATAAATAAAAATGTTTAAAAAAATAATAATAATAATACAAGCACTTAGTTATAAATTTCCCTTTAAAGACTGGTTTGGTTACATTGCACAAGTTTGTTGTGTTGTTTCTTTTTAAT